GACACCTGCATCCAATGCTTTTGTGACCTGATCGTAAAAGGCAATCAGGTTGGTCTGACATGACCTGCCCCTAACGAAACCGTGCTGGTTGCCCTTGAGCATCATCCCCGATGCTGGCCCATCACAGATGTGCTCCTTGATGATCTTCTCAAGGAGTTTCCCCAGGACTGAGGTAAGACTGACGAGCCTGTAGTTGCCTGGGTCCTCCCTCCTCCCTTTTTTAAAGATGGGGACCACATTGGCCATCTTCCAATCATCTGGCACCTTACCCGAGCACCACAAGCACTCGTAAAGCCGTGCCAAGGGCCCTGCAATAACCCCTGCTAGCTCCCTCAACACCCTGGGGTGGAGAGCATCTGGACCTGCTGATTTGAATACGCCCAGCCCCTCCAGAAGCGCTGTAACCCGGTCCTCCTCAACCTTAGGTCTGGAGGCGTTCCCCTCGAGTCCGTCTTGAATCACGGTGCAGGGGGTCCCAGTCCCTGCACAAGAAAACGGAGGTGAAGAAATTGTTAAAGAGGTCTGCTTTCTCCTCTGGTGCAACCACGATATTGCCCAGTGCATCTTGCAGGGGCCCCACGTTTCCCAGTGCCTTCTTCCATCCTCCCTATATATTTGAAAAAGGACTTTTTATTATCTTTGATCTTGGACGCTAGCCCTAGCTCTATGTCTGCCTTAGCTTTCCTAACAGTGCCCCTACAGAACTTCTCTTGTGAAGGCTGAACAGGTTCAGGTCCCGTAGCCTCTCCCCACCTTCCACTGGGTGTACGCCGCCTTTTTGGCAACCAGGCATTCCCGGATGTCCTTGGTGAGCCAGGGGGGCTTTTGGGCACTCTTGCCCCCCTTGCTTCTTGTTGGGATTGTCACCCTTTGGGCCCTGAGTATCGTCTCCTTAAGGAACGACCATTCATCTTGGGCACTGAGTTCCCCTGCCCTCGAGAACCCCAGCGCCTCTCCCACCAATCTCAACTCGTTGAAGTTGGTCCTCTTGAAGTCTAGGGCTACGCCTTGCTGCAGGCCCTTGTCACCCTGCGCTGGATGATGGATTCCAGCAAGCGATGATCGCTATCACCCAGGTGGTCAAGGACCTGGAGCCCCCTTACCAGATCATCGCCTGTGGCCAGGACCAGGTCCACCAGGGCATTTCCTCTGGTGGGACTGTGCACCTCCTGGGTTAAGTGGAGGTCCTGTATCTCGGCCAGGAACCTCCTGGAACGGTCTGACCTGGCTGACTGCTCCTCCCAGCAGATGTCCAGGTAATTTAGATCACCATGACAACTACATCCCTTGCCTTAAGTGCCTCTGCAAGCTGGCCTGAAAATTCCCGGTGCAGCTTCTCCCCTTGGTTGGGGGGTCTGTAGTAGATCTACATCTTCCAGCAAGACAGTCAATCTTCATTTCAGGATATTGAGAAATGGCAAATCTACCACTTTCCTTAGTACCTGGCTCCAGTGGTTAACTACCTTCTTGTTATCTTCTGTGACAGGTAGAACTGGGAATCTGGTGCCCTGTGCAGAGATGCCTGAGAACGGAGGAAGGGGAAGTGCTGAATGCTTGAGGATGGGAGTGCAGGGGCACAGAGTGCCCGATAATACGGCACGTGGCTGCTGTTCCTTCTGCGGGTGCTGCTACAGGCTCAGAACAGACTCCCTGGGGACCCCATTCCTCTGCACCCTTTAAATTGGCACCAGGGCACGTGCCTCTAGTTACACTGCTAAAGTAGTCTATCACCATCCTCTGCAAAACCACCCTTCAGGTATTTGAAGGCTGGTGTCAAATCCCCGATCTGTCTTATCTGCTCCAGATGAGATCATTTCAGTTCTCCCAGCCTTGCCTCATAAATCATTGTTTCCCAGACTTCTACACAGTTTGCATTTCATTCTTCTGGTTAAATGTGAAAACAGCTGGACAGTGTGGAACAAGTTATGCAGGGCACGTCTTCCCTTCCAAGCAGAGGCTGGGCAGGTGTCTCTCGGGGCTGGATTTGAACAGGCAGATTGCATCACATGCAGGGTGATGGACTAGGTGACCGGGGAGGTCTGTTCCAACCCAGACCCAGGCTTGTTCACAGAGGCTGTTATTTGGCATTCTCAGAAGATGGCCATGGTATGTTTGCTTTCTCACCCGGGCAATTTCCACAACAGTAATGCTGTCCTTTTATTCCAACAGCTGTAGCCTTTTCTGCAGAAGGATATTGGAGTGTCCTGTGGTCTCACACACCTGATGGCATTTGCACCTCCCAAAAACATGGATGGCCCCAAACTTCAAACCAAGATGAGCACATGGACACCCCTGAACCATCAGCTCATGAATGACAAGGCAAGTACCACACAGCTGTCTCCAATACAAGCCAAAGCATATGAGGAACATTTAGTAAATTAGCCAAGACGGGTTTGGTCCATGAGATAGAAAGATGCTGTGATTGAAAGGCATTACTTTGCTGCCCGTGAATGAACAAGATCCTCAAGCCTTTACTGTCCCTGAGAACTATGTCCCTGAAACTTGTCTGAGTAACGAATAGGTAATAACTGAAGAGGGTTTGAGGATTTAGTCCAGTAACCTTCAACTATAAGTGCAACACAGCATATATTAAAAGCAAATGACAATGAACCACAGCACAAGTTCTACCAAGTTAGGGCAGCACTTGCTCCATCAAATGGCTGATCAGCTTCACCTCAGACGTAGGGTGACATGGACTCTCTGCCAGATATGGAAGGGAGTGTGCTGATGTGGGCAGTTTACAAGATGGGTGTTCTACCTCTAGGCCCTGCAGACTGTGGCTAGGCTCTGCAAGGGCAGCAGCTTTGTTTTTCCCTGTCAATCATCCCCAGTACCATCTACTTTAAATTGAATTTAATTAAGTTTGTTGCTGAATCACAGAGCATAAGGCCAGAAGGGCCCTTAGATCATCCAGATGGATCTGTCTATCACATGCCACTAGAGCCCATCCCATCCCCCACCTGTACTGAGCCCAATAACTTGTCTTTATCTAGGTGTATCTTCTGTGACAGCTGAAAATTATGTCTGTGTGATAAAGGTGTTTGCTGAAGGCTCTATGAAGATTACATCAAGTGTTTTTTCTGTCATTTGTTTAGATATTAAGCTATATGTTGTTGCTAAGAGCCTAATTAAAGTTTAAGATGTAGTAAGGCCTTGCATATAGTAAGGCCTAGTAAATTTAGTAAAGCCTTGAAGTAATAAGGCCCTGTGGCATAGTTAAAATTAACTTTATCAAAAGAATGCAAGGCTTGTACTGTTATTGGGCAAAGGACAGTTGAAGTAAAAATAATCTGAATGGCTGTAACTTATCAGCACAGCTCAGAAATGATAAATTGCCTGGCACATCCGGAAATCATTTAGAAGGAAGATGTAGCTCTGTGAAAGCAGTACTGATTTAAGATTAGCTGCTGGCCTGGATCAGTGAGCCTGTGGACCTCGAGGAGCCCAAGGACTGAATGCCAGGGTCCTCCCCAGTACCCCTCAGTCCTCCCCAGTACCCCTCAGACAGCGCTGATCGGGGATGCCTGACTTTGCTGAGCTTTGCAGAAGAGAAACTGGTTGTGCATCAGGCATCAGAGGGGACTGCTGATAAGTTACTGATGCAAATTATTATTGTCTGTTGTTTTGTTATCTGTGCGTAGTCGTGTTTTTGTTAAGTCAATAAACCTTTCTTACCTTTCTTCCCTCAACCATACTCTCAATCCCGAACCCTCCGCAGGCAGCTGGGACATCTTCCAGCAAGACAGTCAATCTTCATTTCAGGATATTGAGAAACGGCAAATCTACCACTTTCCTTAGTACCTGGCTCCAGTGGTTAATTACCTTTCTTGTTAAAAATCACAGGCTCATTGCCAGTTTGAATTGTTCCTTCAGCTTGCAGCCATGGGCCTTAATATGCTTCTTAACTTTAATTCTCACTACTTTTATAGATTTCATAGATTTCTAGAGTTGGAAAGGACCTGGCAGATCATTGGGTCCAACCCCCTGCTCCGGGCAGGAAAGAGCTCTGGGGTCAGGTTAACCCCAGCCCGATGCCTGTCTAACCTCCTCTTGAACACCTCCAAGGTAGGGGAAAGCACCACCTCCCTTGGAAGCCCATTCCATATTTTGGCAATCCTCACTGCAAAGAATTTCTTCTTTATGTCCAATCTTAATCTGTTCTCCTTCAGTTTGTGACCATTATTCCCGGTAACCCCGAGGGGTGCCCTGGTAAACAGAGTGTCCCCTATTTCCTGCTGGTCCCCCTGATGAGTTTGTAGGCAGCCACAAGATCACCTCTCAGCCTTCTCTTGCGGAGGCTGCAGAGATTCAGATCCCTCAGTCTGTCTTCATAAGGTCTTACCTGCAGTCCCTCAACCATATGAGTAGCCCTCCTCTGAACCCTCTCAAGGTCATCCACATCCCTCTTGAAGTGCAGCGCCCAAAACTAGACACAGTACTCCATCTGTGGTCTCACCAGTGCTGCCTAGAGGGGAATTATCACTTCCCTAGACCTGCTTGTGATGCTCCTGCTGATGCAAGAAAGAGTGCGGTTAGCCTTGCTTATTACCTCGTCGCACTGGCGACTCATGTTCATTTTTGCGTCAACCAGGACTCCGAGATCTCTTTCCACTGTTGTGGTGCTCAGAATGGTACCTCCCAGTCTATAGGTGTGTTGGAGATCCTTTCTCCCCAGCTGTTTCACCTTGCATTTATCCTTGTTGGATTGCATCCTATTCTGATTGGCCCACTTCCCCAGTCTGTCCAAATCTCCCTGAATTTGCTCCTTGCCCTCCAGTGTGTTTACTATGCCCCATAGTTTAGTGTCATCTGCAAATCTGGACAAGGTGCTTTCAACACCTTTGTCCAAATCACTGATGAAGATATTAAACAGCACTAGTCCAAGGACAGGTCCTTGGGGGACACCACTGCCCACATCCCTCCAGGGAGAAACCGACCCATCCACCACCACTCTCTGGGTGCGTCCCATAAGCTAGTTTTTCACACACCTTACTGTGAAAAAATTCACATCACAGCTACTCAGTTTGCTAGTAAGAATTGGGTGCAACACTGTGTCAAAGGCCTTGTTAAAATCCAGGTAAATAATATCTACTTCCTCCCCTGCATCTAAGCAATTTGTGACCTGGTCATAAAAAGAGACCAGGGTAGTCAGGCAGGATCTGCCTGCTATAAACCCATGCTGGTTGCCCCCTACCGTTGTGTTACCTGCTGGCCCGCTGCAAATGTGATCCTCAATGATTTTTTCTAAGGTCTTGGAGGCTAACTAGCCTATAATTACCCGGGTCCTCCTTCCTCCCCTTCTTGAAGATAGGGACCATGCTGGCCCTTTTCCAGTCCTCTCGGACCTGTCCCAAGTGCCACGAGCGCTCAAACAGCTGTGCCAGTGGTTCTGCTATGTCATCTTTCATAGTTTCACAGTTAGTAGGGTCAGAAGGGACCTGAGCAGATCATCAAGTCTGACCCCCTGCAATGGGCAGGAAAGAGTACTGAGGTCAAATGATTCTGGCAAGGTGTTCATCCAGCCTCCTTTGAAGACCCCCAGGATAGGAGCCAGCACCGCT